GGGGCGGAACTGTTCAGTGATTTAAAAACATACATGAGAATTTTGAACTGGATCCGAAGGTGAATGGGTAGCCAGTGCAGGGAGGCCAAAACTGGCGTGATGTGCTCTCTATAGACTGTACGAGTTAAAAATCGGGATGCAGCATTTTGGACCAGTTGTAGACGAGCAATGGAGGACTGACTGATTCCAAACAGAATTGAATTGCAGTAATCAAGCCTAGATGTTATGAAGGCGTGGATCACTGTCTCAAGGTTCTTTTTGGAGAGTATAGGCTTCAGCTTAGACAGCCGTCTCAGCTGAAAAAAACAGGATTTGACCATCATGTTTACGTGACTGTTGAGTTTTAAGGACGGGTCCATTATCACCCCCAGATTAGTCACCTTTTGTTTCTCTAGCAGGGCTAGAGAGAAAAGGTCAATGTCATGGTTCATGAGTGAGCCACTGGGATGGAACAGCATGACTTCAGACTTCTTCTCATTGAAGCTTAAGAAGTTTAAAGCCATCCAGTCCCGGATGTCAGCCAGGCAGTCAAGAAGAGGCTGAATAGAGCGTGTGCCTCTGTGCCTCAGGGGGAAGTAAATTTGGCAATCATCGGCGTAGAAATGAAAAGGTATGTTGTGTTTGCGGAAGATAGCACCTAGTGGCAGCAGGTATAAAGAAAAGAGAAGGGGACCGAGGATGGACTCCTGTGGTACCCCACACTTGAGCGCTGTCGATGCCGAACTAAAATCTTTGACATTGACACAGAAGGTTCTGTCAGAGAGGTAGGACGCAAACCATTTAAGGGCTGACCCTGTGATGCCCACCCACTGCTCCAGTCTAGAAATGAGGATCTTGTGGTCGATGGTGTCAAAAGCAGATGTAAGGTCCAATAGGACCAACAGCACAGAATCACCTGCGTCTGTGGATATGAAAATGTCATTAAAAACCTTCAGTAGAGCAGTTTCAGTGCTATGGAGAGATTTGAAGCCAGATTGGAATAACTCAAGGATAGCGTGATCCCCCAAAAACTGTTTCAACTGAGACTCCACAATTTTTTCCAGTAGTTTAGAGGTGAATGGGAGTCTGGAGACAGGCCGGAAGTTGGACATGACTGAGGGGTCAAGGTTAGGTTTTTTCAGGGGGGGCTGGACAGCAGCATGTTTAAAAGTTCTTGGCATCACACCTGAGGATAAACTGCTATTCAGAATAGCGAGAATAAAAGGACCCAGGGTAGGAAAAACTTCCTTTAGCAGTCGAGGGGGGACCACATCAAAGGGGGAACCAGATGGTTTCATGCTGCACATTACCTGCTCCAGAGAGGACAGAGAGATGGGCTCAAAGTGGTCAAACACAGCCACACACTGAGATGGGATGGACAGATCATGAGCTGGCGGAGAAATGAGTGCCCGGGTGTTTGCCACTTTTTCTAAAAAGAAATGGAGGAAGTTTTCACACAGCTCAGTTGAGGCTTCCAGAGGTGAAGGCACACTGAGGTGTAGAACTGAGTTCAGGGTGGAGAAAAGAACTCGGGGGTTGTGGGAGTTGGAGACAATTAAATCAGAGAAGAATTTACATTTGGCAGCTTTAGCGGTTTTCTGATAGTGACGCCAACTCTCCCTTAACATTTGAAAAGAAACCTGCAGCCTGTCCTTCCTCCACCTTTGTTCAGCTCTGCGACACTGCCGCCTAACGGCTCGCGTGACGTCATTCAGCCAAGGCTCTGATTTAAGTTTCGTTTTTCTGGTTTTAAGGGGAGCAACACGGTCCAGAACATCTAAACAGGCAGAGTTGAACTGAGAGGTTAGCTCCTCAGTGGTAAGAGACACCGGGAACTGTTCGATCCTCTCAGAATTAAAACCTTCATTAAAACGAGCAGCAGTGAAATGGTTAATGGAACGCGTACGTGCAGGAACGCACGTCTTAGCAGTAGGACAAGGGGGGGTGAAGTCAAACAATACAGGCATGTGATCTGAAAAAACATTGTCACCGATTTTCAAATTAGAAACAGAGACATCGCGTGTTAAAACGAGGTCCAGCATGTGACCATGTTCCTGGGTGGGGCCGTTCACCTGCTGAGCTAAGCCAAAAGAGTCCAGTAAATCTAGAAAGTCCTTCACTAAGGGCTTCTCCTGACAACACACATGCAAATTAAAGTCACCAATAAGCAAAAAGTGAGTGTATCTCTGTGTGATATCAGCCAAAAAGTCAGAGAATTCATTTATGAAGTCCTTAGAACGAGGTGGGTGATAGACGAGTGCACACAGAACCGTAGGAGAGTGTCAGAGTTCAAAGATGCTCAGCTCAAAGCTGGCGCGGGACACCGGGATGGACAACTATTTACAGGCCAAGTTTGCTTTAAAAACTGTTAATAATCCCCCCCCC